ACTTGTTTTCCAGAAACTTCCTTTGCTTTTTGGAACAAGAAACTCAAATCCCCATTTTTCCCAATCAGTAGTTTCAAATCCCTTGCGCGCCAATTCATCTTTCTTGTCTTTTGCTCTGCGTTCAAAGCAGTTTAATCGACCTTTACAGTTTTCTTGGGCTCCCTCGAAGATTTTTTACGGGCGACGTGGTATATCAGTACTGGTATTGGCTTATGGTTATATGGTTGTAGAGGCCGCTTATATATGGTTCATATGTTTCCCGCTTTGAAGCAAGTTCCCTATTGGCTAGCTCTAATATTTTCAAAGAGAATATTTGCGGATCTTTCGTTCCACTTTATTCTTATAATATACTAACCATCTTACCTGGAAAAAAAGGAAAGGCGGCAAATGTAAGCAGGGCCTTAAGGGGTAAATGTGATTTTTGATATATTAACATTTTACCCCTATCCTTTATTTTTACGGGGGTAAATGTTGTTGTATAACATAAATTTATAAAAAACTGATAAAGCAGAATGAAAATCTCTTATGAAAACTTTGTACGAAAAAGCAACAAATAATAGCCTAATTTTTTATAATAATTTTTAATTTCTTACATTCAGACTATGGATTTGGCGACGAAATAAAGACCACGTGTTGAACTTAATGTGCAGGTAAAACGAATACGATTACGTCAACCGCGACTGAACGTGACTAAAGCGATGGTCGGCGAGTTTGACCGATTTGGGGGGATCCTCGAGAGTGGGAGGCCCTCGTTTAAAATGAAATTGAAAGGTTTCGACTAATCACGTATGAAAGCCGTTGAGCTAATACATTTGCCCCTTTTCTACATTTACCCCGGTTTACCTTATAGCTGATGTTTTTCGTTAGAATTATACATGTCGTTTTCGGCAGATTCCGATTTTTATCCGGCGCGCGTTTTGTCGTTCTTTACAGTGTTCTTTAGCTTTAACTGAAATAAAACACTAGCGTCGTTGTTATACAGTGGCTGCGTCCCAAAGCTCAGATAGTTTGCGTCCTTTTTAAGAGCGGTAAGAAATTAACATTGCAGTAAAAGTCTTGGGTTTTTTTAGTCTATGATTGAACTAAAGTAAAGTTTACGCTTTACAACACTCCCCCTCAATGGAAATTCTTTTAAACTTAAACAATTCATTACAAAAACATCAGGAGAGGGCTTAGCTAACCATGCCTAAAAGTTTACAGAACTTACTGATTCTCGGTCCTGATAGGAATTTCGTAAAGAGATCAGCACAATTTTCACTTGACGGAATATAGTCAATAGTGATATCTCCTCTTTCCACATGTTCTCGGACAAAATGGTACTTTACAACAAAGTGTTTGCTTCTTTCTTTTATGCAGTCATCCTTTGCAATACTTATCGCACTCTGATTGTCACAAAATATGAAACTTTTCTCACCGAGTAAATGTTGATGGCCGATTTCCCCTAAGAATGATTTAAGCCATACCATTTCGCTAATGGCTTCGGATAGGGCTATGTATTCTGCATGAGCAGTTGAATTTGCAACACAGCCTTGTTTCTTACTCTTCCAACTGACCGCACCACCACCAAAACTTACAACGTACCCAGTTAGTGATTTTCCGTCGGTTTTACTATCGGCCCAGTCACCCACAAAATCTGAGTCACTATAGCACGAGAATGTCTCACCTTTTCTATACACTAATTTATAGTTAATTGTCTGTTTTAAATATTTGAGCACGTTTTGGACACCTTTCCAGTTTTTCACCGTTGGATTCTTACAGCATTGCGACAATTTACAGACTGCGTTTGCAATGTCTGGTCGCGTACATGTACTCAAATATAGAAGGCTACCAATGGCCTTTTGATAAATCTTCTGGTCGTAACTCTCACCTTCTTCTCTAGAGTCCATTTTTGCACCCACTTGCAACGGGCAAGATGAACCTCTGCAATCAGACATTTGATACTCGCTGAGAAGTGAAATTATGTAAGGTTTTTGGTGCAAAGTCACTTCATCTCTTGTTGGACGGTCAAATTGTATGGACAGAAAATGGTTTATTTTTCCTAGGTCTTTCACCTCCATAAATTTAGCTATCTCTTGCTTAAATTTATATAGCTCATTTTCTTCACCTGTACAGAAAAAATCATCCACGTAGATTCCTATAATTAGGTTCTCCTTGTAATAAACACAAGGTTCGCTTACACATCTCTTAAATCCCAAACTTAACATAAAATTAACAAGATCGTAATACCAGTTTCTCCCAGATTGCTTTAGTCCATATAGGCTCTTCTTCAGCTTGCAAACGCATTTACGTCGGTCTATGTCTAATCCATCTGGAATTTCCATGAAAACAGATTCCTTTAAATCGCTGTTTAGATAAGCGCCCACGACATCTAGTTGCTCAATCTCCCAATCATTCTGGACTGCAATAAACGATAGTAAACGAATAGTCTTCTTACCTAAGACGGGGCTCGATGTATCAAAATAGTTAACGTTGTGTAGCTGCTTGAATCCCTGTGCGACCAACCGCGCCTTGAATTTCTTATGGTTGTCGTCTACAGCATCCTTGACCGCAAATACCCATTTGCATCCGATGATTTTCTCTCCGCGAGGTCTCTCTACAATTTTCCAAGTTTCATTTAGTCTGTGTTTCACTAGTTCTTCGTCAATGGCACTGCTCCACTGTTGACGATGAGGGCTGTTCAGGGCATCTGTTATGTTTGAAGGTACTTCTATTGCACAACTTGCAAAGTTACAGCACGAACATGGGTTTCTGGCGACACGTTGCCGGTTCGATCGTCGAGGGGCTTCTCCATCGATTAACGCTTCCTCTTGGTTTCTCTCATCATTTACTTCTACTGAGTTTGTTTCGCAGGTTTCCGCGCATTCGACTTGTGACCATTGCTCCCACTCTGTTGAGATGGACTTCTACCGTCATCGTTCATGTTGTCCTTCTTCTTGCCGTAGAAATCTTGCCCCTGATTTTTCTTCAGACCTACATGTTTCTTCAATACGGCCATGGCTCTCGACTCATCTTCTCTTGAATCTACTGCTTCTACTCGCTTTTGTCTCTTCTCCTCTACAAGCAGCTTCGCGACCAGGCTGTCCAATTCAAGTTTTTCTTGATTCTCCATTGTCCGGATGAAAATTTCAAACTTCTCCTTAGGTAAGCCTCGAAGTACAAATAAGGAAAGAATATGGCTCTCAAAATTCATGCCGCATTTTGCTAGCTTTCTCTGAAGGTCTAGGGCCTTAGCAACATAATCTGACATGCTTACGTCATCAGCCTTTTTCATCGTAGCGAGATCTTCGAGGAATTCAATTTGGTGCATGAGGGTGAAATCTTCATTTAAAGAGGCAAGAGTCTCCCAGGCTTTCTTTGCTGTTTTCAGGTTTCCGATGTAGTCAATAAACTTATCGTTAACTCCAAGAAATAAAAGAGATAATGCTCTCGCATTTTTCTTCTTCTCACCTGCAGTGAACGCTTCAGAGAGGTCTTCATCCCCAAAACCCGGATCTACTGCATCGTAGCAATCCCGCTGGTACATCAATGCTCTCATTTTCACATGCCAGGCGAAATAATTGTCGTCGTTTAATTTAAGGCCACGTTCCATCCCGTTTCCATCGCTAAAGCTGCACGAGGACGCCATCTTAATCCGAATCCGATCTCCTAGGCCCCACACTGTACACTCACGTTGCGAAACGTTGAGACGAACGACCTTTATTCAAAACACGATTTTACTATTCGCACAAGGTTCATTTTCACGTAAAATATGCACAGTTTTTTGAAACTCGCACTAATCTAACGACAGGGTCAACGACCTGTGGTTTCCATCACGTGCGAAGCGAGGAGAAAAAATACGCACACACCGGCCTGCACGCACTTCACGTACGCGAAAAAACGCAGAAAACGATTCTGAGGCACGCTTTAAGTCTCATAATCTGTTAAAATGTAAATAAAACAACATGGTTTTAAGACAGAACAGACTACTGCCAAGAGCCAAACACGAATATATTTCTAATAATGGGCTCATTCAGGGACGGTCAGCGGCCAAGTAGCTTACTAAGCAATTACCCTGAATGCGTCCGCTGACTTAGAATTCTGTGTCAGCGGCTGACAAAATAGGTTAGCACTTAAGTTTTCAGCTGTTTGTACTCAGCGCCGTCAGCGTTCTCGTCATAACCTCACAAAAGAACTGCAAAGTGCAAACTCATATGCGAACTGCATTAAAAATAACCTAAACCTTTCACGCCAAATAGTTATTACTTGTAGACCAGTGTGCAGGACAAGATGAACAAGGTAGTTATTGTGGAAAATTACGTCGTCGGTAAAAATAATACCATACGGTTGCGGCCGGTACCCACACCTTCAACAAGTAATTATTTAAATTACCAAAACGATACTACAGTCGATGAAAGTGAAGTTGATGCGATGTATAATGAAGGTGCAAACTATACACGTTATTCCTGTAATGCATTACTTACGACTGTTTTAGAGATCGAATTAGAAGGTGGTGACACAAACAATTTGGATGCTGTGCAAGATGCAGAAGCTAGTAAAGAAGGTAGGTGAATACCAATTAATACATGTACTAATAACATATTTTATAAGGTGAAAAATTTAGATGGAGTCGCCAAAGCATTCTGTTCTTCATAGATGAATACGAAAAGTTAATCGAAAAATTTAGAAATCCGAAGTATAAAAAAAAAGATCTGTGGAATGAGATCGCAGGGAAAATGAAGAACAAAGGATATACAGTGTCATCTGACGCACTTGATAAAAAAATGCGTAATATGCGTAGTACCTACATAAAAATTTTAGATAATAATAAGACTAAGGTCGCTACAGGTAGAGGTAGGATAGCATGGGAATATTTCGATCGCTTCGAGGAAGTATTTGCCCGTGATAAAAGTGTGAAACCTGTCAATGTGGTGGCCTCTTCACAGCCGCCAAAGACACCAATTGTTATTACTGAAAATGGATCATCACCACAATCGACACCAACGCATGCCTCATCTGTACAAGCATGTACGCCACAACTTTCATCGAAGTGGAAACGATTAGACGTTTTTCGTAAAAAACAATTAGAAATAGAAGCCAAGAAGGTAGAAGAGATTAAAAACATTAGAATTCAAATGGAGACCTTTAATGAAATTCAGAAGAAAAAATTAGATCTGTTCGAAAAATATTTAAATTCACCTCCAAATTCACAAACATAACTTTTCTCATGTTTTGTAAAATGCTTATGCTTACTTTGTATAGCGACATATTTATGAACGAATAATGTGTTTTATTATAAGTACATATACCTATTACAATAGTGAAGCTATATAATCTCTTTTTATTTCTGCATTTCTTCCAACATCTTCCTCATAAAATTCTGCATGCTGTATACCTATGTCATCACCATTGTGACCATTGTCATTCTGGTTATCTGCATCATTATCGATGATCAGAATAAAGTTATGCAGAATACAAGCTGCCAATATAACTTGAGGTAGTTTATCTGCTAGAGACATATCAAGATATTTTAGTCTTCTCCATTTTCCTGCAAAAAGAATCAGGTTTGTTCTCTTTTGAGCATATTCATTACCTTTCAATAGACCAAAGCACCTTTCGATCATCGACCGTATGCTACTCATCACTTCGTTAAACCGAATTTGTACTTCTGTAAGGTGGCCATTATCCCTGTATGGTTTTAAGAGATTATCAAGCAGCGGATAAGCTGCATCTCCGAGTAAGTGTTGCTGTGGTGTTAATAAAGCAGGATTGTTTACAAGTCTATTATAGATTGGGCTATTTCTAAAAATTCGCGCATCATGCAGTCGGCCTGGCATACCAATATATACATCTGTAAATATTAATTTATCGTTGCAAATTCCTTGTAAAACCACCGAGTGTACATCTTTTCTATTAAAGAAATCTACGGGGTTATGTGTTGGTTGTTTTATTTGTATGTGGGTTCCATCTATAGCACCCACGACACCTGGTATGCCTGGTAAATATATTATTTAGTTACCTATAGGTATTGGGGATAGAGTGGGACTCTGGAGTGTGATATAATAGCGACTTTCATCATACTCCTAGGAGTATACTCAAAGGTAGCGATAGTAGGGGCCGCCCCAAGATTTACACATGCTTTCCCTTTTTGGGTTAAAGTAATTATTTCCTCTCCCCAACTCTCAGTACTACCTTTATACGTGGTCCTAGTGGCAAACGTGTGAAATTTTGGGGCAACTCCTATTACAGGTACTATATGAGACCCCAGAGCCCTACTCTAACTACACATATTTACCATATTTTGTTTCTATTCTTGATGCTATTTCGATGTTCTCGCATTTGGCCACTCAATAAATTGGTGCGTTAAATGACCCACCGCAGAAATAAAATTCATAAAAATATAGTGGCCTGATCCACTCGACAGATTAAATCTGTCCCCGACAGCCAAGAAGCTTTCTTGCTTTGCCAGAAGTTTACATCGTCGTTGAATAAGAAATCCACAATATTTGGTTCGATCATGTTAAAAAATTTATATTTTATAACATAACCTCAAATGCAAGTGGCACTCAGCTTAAGTGTGTCATTCAGGGAACATGGGTGGCTAACCTTAGCAACTTGTTAGCCATCTAAGCATCAGCCGTCAGCTGCTGACCGTCCCTGAACGCGCCCAATGATAATACAATACAGGCAGTTTTGGTTAACACTGTATACTACCATTCTGTGGCAAATGAACATATTGTTGCCTAACAGCTGGTTAAAATAATTCTATTGAACTAAAGTAAAGTTTACGCTTTACAACAATTAATAAGATAATCTGCCACTTCCAATGCACTGCAGAGAGTCACATAAAGACCATATTGGGTTTGATGAGCTAGCTTCGCGTGCTGCGGTACGGGCATTTCAGACATCTCCACTAAAGAGTCCAGAAACTCGTTTATAACCTGTTGTGCAAATGTGTGTCTTTAAAATATATTACTTTGTTTCTGTGTACAAATTTACAAATCATTATTGATGCAGCAACACACCTGATGCTGACTACCTATACAAATTTTATGTAGAAAAAGATTAAACTGTTCATACCTTTCTTGCACACTTTTTCGTTTCAAATTTGTGCACAGTGTCCTCATCTTTACTTTCGCACGCATCAGCTTCATACGTAACACTTTCCCCCGGTCTGATGCTATTCCATGGAGTATTTGCGTTCATAGCATCTATTAGAGTATTAATTCTACGAATGAAGGCTATAGTTGGGGCGCTGTCTTCCAAATTCGGATATCCCTCCTCCTGATACGCTTCCATCGCATCAGCAACAGTTTTGCTAAAAAACTATTTTAGATGTAAAAAAGGAACCATACATTCGCTAATGTATATGTACTGCAACATTGATTTTAAAAAAATGATCAACTTACACCGAATGCCATGCCTACATTCATTTTTTGATAATTGGGGAGATATAGGTGGTCTCGTGATAGCTTGTGACATCGTTGAATAGGTTTACCTCTGACATTATCTGCCTCATAAAGTGCTACCCAATGCGAAAATTTGACTATTCCGTCAGGAGTTACAAGCTGCAATGCAATAAATCAATAACAATAAATTAGTCATTGCGTTAAATAAACTAAACTTGATATTATTTTGTGATGAAATAGGTCTATAAATTTCATTGGTACTTACATCTTTAACCAGTCCTTTTTCGTTTGGAAATATTCTGCTTTTCAATGACTTAATTAAGTGTGGAAAATCTGAACACATATAGATTCTTCTATCTTCATCACAAGGATGTTGAAAGCTTGTTCGACCTTTATTAGCGATCATGTTCATACCCTCCTGTTTTGTTTTTCTTTGACTAAAGGGGTTGCTTAGGCCTACCTCCGCCCACATATTCCTGTTCCAAGGAGCTCCATCACACACCCACATGTCAACATGAAGATCACATTGTTCTAGTAAACATGTTGCCTCTAGAGCAAGTTTTACTAGAAGTGGTCCCTTCAATGCACCCTTTCCTAGAAATGCCGCTATTGTTTGAAACCATGTCTTTTTCCACGGTTTGAACATAAAGACGAGCGCATGGTCGCCTGGCTGATCAGTCAATTCTTCTGGAGTATAATTTCCAAGATTTACAAACCCATCAATCTTCAGTGTATTTTTGTTAAAATTTAGTGCAGAACACAAACTGATTTCATCAAAAATGAGGCAACCTGTAATGAGGATTGAACACAATGAATTTCATCTGTTACACATCTTATTTTACTTACCATGTCGTTAATCGATTTCCATCACTTTACATTTCTGTTTTAATAGCTCAAAGATTCCAGGAAGGAAACCAAATGATGGTTTTAGTTTTTCATGTATCTTTGTAATGTTCTTGTTGAGGGCAAGGGAAGTGTCTGATCTCTTATCATTTTTCGGTAGAGCGCTGGAGATTTTATTTTTAACAATGTACACTCGTACACCCACTGCTGAGTATATCGCCGGCCATTAGGTGTTTTGGCTTGCGCTGCAGAAATGCAAACTTTGACTGCTTCCTGTTGGCGTGAAGGCAATTTCTTAACGATCACTTCAATTTGTGATTCGTTAATATCATCATACTTCTTTTGTATGGCTTCTAATACTCCCTCTAGTTTTTTGACCTGTTGAGAAGATGTTATGTATATATCGTGTTGTCTAATTTTTATATTAAACGTTTAGTACATACCTTTTTAGTTAACGTTCTTTTTTCGTATCGCAATTTTTTTGTTTGTTTCCTGAATGCTATCCTTTTTACTCTTCGCCTTCTTTCTAACCTAATATCTGATTGTCTCTTCGCAGCACAATATTTACATCTTTTTACATTTTTTGTCTGATCAAGATCTGGCTTAGCGTAGTATCCTTTGCACCTTTCCACTTCTTTCCCTGAACCAGGACATGCTTCATAACTATTCACGTCTTTCAAGAAAGTAGCCAATTCTTCAAAATTTTTGATATTTCCTGTTATGTCAGTTTTCTTACTATTTATTATCACTATCGGTTTCACTTCTTTATCGCCACTTGCTTTTCTATGACTTGTATGTCTTGTTTCAAAACAACTTCAAAATAGGTAAGAATTTCTTCTTTTTTAATAAATGTCCACATGGAATGTGGCAAAGTAGTCTGCTGGGGGTTTTCTTGCAAAGTAAAAGCAAATGAATCACACATGCTGCTACTACTTGCTTTAACTTCCTGGTGCAGAGTGATTGATGAATCTGGCGAAGCTACGTCTTGTATGTCTTTATCCTGACGGCTTGTAGGACCCAATGCGCAGCACAGCGCACTATCTTGAATTGTACCTTCAAGAACCGTTTTAATTGGAGGTGTGAATCTGGACCTAAGTTGAATATTGTTGGCACAGCATTAGGTGTTAGTCTGGGAGGCTTGCACGTTTTAAGTATAGTTCCATCTGGTAAAGAGTTTTCACTAGTTTCTCTTACAACAAAATGTGGTTCGAAATGTTTCTCACAAACTCTGGTGTTTTCGTTAATTTTGTCTTTAGGAATTGGTATTACTAGTTTCCAACTTTCGATCATCCCCTGAAATGTAATGTTAAATACTCCTTCTAGTCTTTAATAATTAAATATTGAACTTACTCGAGGAGCTTTAAAGACGGATACACGTGTTGAAAAATCATCTTTTTTTCTAGTAGAATCATAATTGCTCTTACATCCAAACACAGCACACTTATACACCCTTTTGGTATGAATACCCAAATTATATTTCGCCTAATCACAGGATTAATGAAGGAGTGCAATTAAAATAAGTTAGGTGTCTATTACCTAACCACTTAACGAATAGATAATAAAAACGTTAAAGCTTAGCGCCGTACTTAGCAGTTTGAAATAGGTAGTGTGCAAAAAATCGTGCGTTAGGATGCGGCGTCGGCAGAATTTGGAAACGCTGATTCATTCCATTTTATAACATTGGTTTTGCAAACTAATGTAAAACCTAATTTGCAATTTTTTTTAAATCAACGAATTTTATGTTAGAACTAAATAAGTTAAAAGAAAACTTGCAAGCTCTTAGTTAGCATTAAATTATGAAAATGCCTCTTCGTCTGGAACCGCAAGACTTTGGTCTACTGTGAAACAGCTCATAACCAAATATTCTTTTATTTAATATTAGAATTATTGCCATAAGAATAGAAGATATACCGCAGATTATGTCACGGTAATGTCTTTATGACGTTGAGCCAGAATTAGTACCTAACTCAAAGCCACGGTGAATAAAGACTCAAAGCTTATGATTATACCTCGTCTGTACAAAATTAAAAAAACTACACTATCTTTTCCTTAATTTAACTAATTACCTGGACAAAAATGCGTTACTCTCAGTTTACTATGCCAAAGTGTATTCTGCTTTTAGTTACAACATTATCGTGTGGGGATACAAGCAACAGAAGCTTGTAGAGTGTTTACCTTACAAAAACGAGTAATCCGGCGTATATACAATCTAAAATTTAACGAATCGTGTAGAGACACGTTTAGAAACAATAGACTTTTAACCTTTGTGTCAGTTTACTTGTTAAAAATTTTAGTGTACATTCATAAACACCGACTTTTTTAAAACGAAACCGTGACAACCATGAATATTCCACTAGATCTGGAGATAATTTATATCTTCCGAAATGCCATCACTCAAAATTCAAGAAGTCGGTCCAGTACGCAGGGTGTTACCTTTACAATGCACTATCACCTGACATCAAGAATATCACTAACACAAACACTTTCAAAAATGTGCTCAAAGACCTACTCATTGTAAAGTGTTGTTACACAATCCAAGAGTACTTGAATGTCATCTAAATAATAATGTTTGTCCAATATTTGTACAATGTGTGTGTTTTATACCTATTGATTTTCTTTGTGTGACTAGCCTTATCTATTGTAAAAATAGCTACAAAGGTCTAATAAACACACACGTACATTGGACATCTAGGGATAATGTAAATAACTCTACGTTGGTCTGCAATGCGTTGTTCTGTCAAGTGTGCTAAATGTGGGTATTGTGTAATGAACGCGTGATATAGTTTACCTCTGTATGCTGTCCTGTCCGTTTCCATCTTCGTGATCTCCAGATACGTACCGAAAATGAAGCGATTCATCCCTTCGTCCCATTTCATACGTCTTTTGGAGGTATCCTTTGCGCTGGTCCCATCCACAAGCGGTTGAGAAGCAGGCACAAAGGTCTCTTCATGGCGGTCCTCTTCAGGTGGTCGTTGTCCTCTTCGTAGTCTTCTTTCGGCTGTAGAGGTTTCGGGTATCCCGACGAGCGGCCGCCTGTTCACCAACTCGTCACTATCGGCTCGCATACTGCAACGCCCAGCGATAGCTCCAGACGTGCCCTGACGCTCCTCAGGTAGCGGCATTTTTCCGAGGCTTTGTTTAAACTCCATTTTCATAAGAATATGGGGTGACTAGGAACACGTGAAGGCGTCACTCTTCAAGATATTCGCGTAAGCAAATATCCACCTGCGTGTTGTGTATAATGTAGGAAAGTAGGGAACATGGACGTGGGAGTTGGAAAGTAAAGTGGGTAGGTAAGTACTAAAGGTGGTTGGACTGGTCACCTTTAGTGCCCATTGATCGCCTTTTACGATCTCTAGGGCGAGAGTGGGCCTATTCTATCCCCGAACCCACAGGGGTTTATTATTATTATCGGTGTTTCTTGTGAGAACTCAGGTCTAGCCTGGTTAACTAATCGCACGGATTAAAATCAAGTAACGATTAGTGTCTGTGTCTGTGTCTGGTGAAGTTATGTAGTAAAAAAAAAAAAAATAATAATAATATCACACACGTACATTGGACATCTAGGGATAATGTAATTCGTACTTACCAACATACCTATTGATGGGCACAATAGCCAACGCTATCAGGAAAGAGGAAAACAAAACAAAACAAAAAAAATCATTATAATAATTCCTGTAATTTTATAAAATGGAGTTTATTGTGTAAATGTTTCTTTGGCTTTGCGTTTGGGTTGAATACGAGTGGGTTGTGATAACGTGGTGTGTTTCTGTGAAGAAGGAGTTTTGTGTTTTTTAATTGTATTTATAGTGTTTCTTTGTTCCTGAGGTCGTATTTGTGAGGTTGCTTGGGTTTTTGGTGGAGATATTGCAGTATTTTGTGAGCCTGTGGTGCTGTTAAGGTTTTTGCGTTTCGGTTTTATACGAGTGGGTTGTTTCTGAGAAGAAGGAGTATTGTGTTTTTTAACTGTGCTAGGGCGTGTAACTTTATTGGATGGACCTGTCTTTGTAGTACATGTTGCGTTACTTGTGTTTATGGTGTTTCTTTGTTCTTGAGGTCGTATTTGTGAGGTTGCTTGGGTTATTGATGGAGATATTACAGTATTTTGTGAGCTAGTAGTGCTGTATAGGTTTTTGCGTTTGGGTTGAATACAAGTGGGTTGTGATAACGTGGTGTGCTTCGGTGAAGAAGGAGTTATGTGTTTTTTAATTGTGCTAGGGCGTGTAACTTTATTGGGTGGACCTGCCTTTGTAGTGCATGTTGCGTTACTTGTATTTATGATGTTTCTTTGTTCTTGAGGTTGTATTTGTGAAGTTGCTTGGGTTTTTGGTGGAGATATTTTAGTATGTTGTGAGCCTGTAGTTCTCTTAAGGTTTTTGCGTTGCGGTTGAATACGAGTGGGTTGTGAAAATGTGGTGTGTTTCTGTGAAGAAGGAGTTATGTGTTTTTTAACTGTGCTAGGGCGCGTAATTTTATTGGGTGGACCTGTCTTTGTAGTGTATGTTGCGTTAGTTGTATTTATGGTGTTTCTTTGTTCTTGAGGTTGTATTTGAGAGGTTGCTTGGGTTTTTGCTGGAGATATTTTAGTATGTTGTGAGCCTGTAGTTCTGTTAAGGTTTTTGCGTTTCGGTTGAATACGAGTGGGTTGTGAAAATGTGGTGTGTTTCTGTGAAGAAGGAGTTTTGTGTTTTTTAGCTGTGCTAGGCCGTGTGGGTGAGGGCGTCTTTGTAGTGCGTGTTGCGTTACTTGTATTTATTGCGTTTGTTTGTTCAGGAAGTTGTGTTTGTGTGATTGGTTGAGTTAAGTTTGGAAATATTACAGTATGTTGTGTGTCATGTGGTGAGTCTAAAGTGCTGTTTAGGCTTTTGCGTTTGGGTTGAATACTAATGGGTGGTGATAATGTGGTTTGCTTCAGAGGTGAATCTCTGATTGTAGTATATGTTGTATCATTTGTTGTACTTGTTTGTTCGGTAAGTTGTATTTGTGTGTTTGTTTGGGTTAGAGGTGGAGATATTACAGTATGTTGTGTACCGTGTTGTGAGCGAGTGCTGTTGTTTGCATGTATACGTTGTGGATCATTTCTGTATGTAGTATCTTGTGTTATGTTTAGAAATTTACGAACAATATGGCATGTGTTGATAATGACTGCTTTTTGTTATTATATATATATATATGTATATATATGTATTATTATTATTATTATTATTATTATTATTATACGATTGCTGGGTTTCTCCAACAAAACTTAAGTAAGGCTTAAGTTATAGCGCCGTGTTATTTGGTCGTGCTTGGTCGAAATGAATCAATTGCTTAGTAACGTTGAACTTAAGTCGAAGTGAAGTAAGAAATAATGTTGGAGAAACCGACCATAAAAACTTGAAATAATAGGTGCTTTCTTTTGCTTTTGGATTTTGAATCCAGATCAGTGCAGTTCCGATCGCAACTTCTGAACGTAAAAAAATCAAAAGAACATGATTTTGTAAGGTTGGGTTATTTGCGATAGAATCAGTTGCAAAAGAACGTAATTCACGTCTGACATTTTTTATTTGTTAGGTTAGTAAATAAACCAGATGGATATTAACAAATTTGTTTTGGTAACAAACCATTATTATTTATTACATTCCTGACTATCGTTTATTTCACCTTTAGGATCAATTGTTAACCCCAATGGATGCAATGAGTACTTCAAGTAGTAATAGTAGTGACGATGATGAAAGGGACAATCACATAAGAATTAAGGATTATGTTGAAACAATAGTTCTGAATTATGCAGTGGATGACTTTAAAAGTCATTTTAGAATGGACCGAACTAGTATTTCCACATTAATTGAACGCTATGATCCTAATGTCTCACTCAAACAGGGTGGTTGGCCTCGTGTTACTAGTACCAAGGCAGTGTTATTGACTGTGTGGTACTTGGCTAACATTGAAACTTTCCGACAAATTGGGGACAGGTTTGATGTCACATTAAGTTGTGCACATGGTACTGTAATAGTATATTAAGTATGGAGAACGGTAAGGGATTTTTACCGTTCGAAGACAATTGTTTGGAGGAGGAGCGCAGCGACGACTCCAATTATTGTCTGAGAACGGTAACCCTTAACGTTCGACGTGCTTATAACATTTTTTGCGCGATCGGAATAAAAATTATGCAATCATTAGAAATACTACTTACTGAGAAAAGAACGAGCGGAATAAATCGAAATGATCGAAGTGGTATTGTATAGGTACTTATATCACTAGGTAACGAGTTTGTTATTTGTCAAAACTGAAAATAATAAATTCATCAAATTGTGTCTGTAGTTTTCTAGCTTTTATACTTCAGTTATGAGCGATTCCGACAGCGATCTAATAGACGAAATAGAAGAAGCATGGGACATTGGATGTTCGGCGGTAATACCACAAAAGTCAAGGATCCGGTACGAGAATACGTACAACATTTTTAAACAGTGGTGCAGTGAGAGAAATGTAGGTGTTACCGAGAAGGTTCTGTTGGCTTATTTCGTTAAACGAAGTGATAAGCTGAAGAGTCCAGGAAGTTTATGGGCAGAATATTCCATGCTAAAGAGCACAATATTTTTATATGAATCTATTAATATTTCGACATTTTCCACGTTAATTGCTTATCTTAAAAGAAAAAATGTTGGTCATAGACCAAAAAAAGCTCAAGTCTTCACGAAAAATGATATGGTGAAATTTTTAAATGAGGCGCCCGATGAAATATTCCTTATCCACAAAGTAAGTTTAAATTATAAAATTTGTGTCTCCATTATTTGTGTTGCATCTATAGGTAGCTATGATTCTTGGCGTGGCAGGGGCTTGCAGGAGAGAGGAGCTGTACAACATGAAAGTTGCAGATATTGAAGACCATGGAGCCCTTCTTGTAGTAAAAATTCCCAACTCGAAAACAAATATCCAACGGACATTTACTGTAACAAGTCAAGTGGACGACAAAGTTTCCTATTTGGAAATTTATCGAAAATACATTAAACTTCGACCCACCTAACGTAGTTTCGGCACACCTGTTCTTAAATTATCGTAACGGAAAATGCAGTCAACAAGTAGTTGGAAAAGGGACGATTGGGAAATGGCCATCAAAAATTGCAACATATTTGAAATTAGAAGGATCGAACGATTATACAGGTCATGCATTTCGGCGCACTTCAGCCAATTTTTTGGTTAATAAAGGTGTAGATGTATTAGGTTTAAAAAGGCATGGTGGATGGAGGTCTTCGACGGTGGCCGAAGGCTATGTCGAAGATTCTCTACAAAACAAAATTGAATTTGCCAATAAAATTTTATGTACTGGTAGTAACAGTGAATTGGAATGTGTCAATCAAAACCATAGCACGTCTTCAAACACCATCTCTATTGCTTCCGGTTCTAATGAAGAACGTATTGTTTATATTGGAAACAACAGCACAAACTGTACTTTTAATATAACAATAAATAAATAAAAATTAAATGTAATGTAAGACTTTGACTGTTGATTTTGAATTTGAATTGATTGTTTTTAAAAAGGCGTCGGTAAGTATTTTTGCTGTTCTGTTGTGTTCGGTAAGTAATTTTGGCGTCGTCGTAATCATAGCAACTGGTAAATTCCACCTACTGTCATGGAAACACACATGGTAAATAGTCAGAAATGACCGATCGCGCAAAAAAGTTGTTACGGAATATCTTATTAGGATTAGTGGTGACTATATAAAGTGGCCTACTGATGTTAAAGCTGTTGATGAATCTATAAGCTTTGAAAAAAAGAAAAATATAAGTAATGTAATTGGAGCCATAGATGGAACCCATTTTAGAATTAATAGACCTAAAGTTCACCCTGAAGATTATTGTAACAGGAAAGGATACCATAGCATCATTATGCAAGGGGTTGTAAATAGCAAAATGGTATTTATTGACATTTATGTAGGAGAGCCTGGATCTATGCATGATGCTAGGGTTTTTCGACGTTCTGCCTTATATAAAACAGCAACAGAAAATCCTGCAGACTTGTTTTATGGCAAATACAAATTAATAGGAGATTCTGCATACCCTGCTTTAGACTGGTTGAGTACTCCAAAAAAGGATAATGGTCATCTAAGTAATGATGATAAAGATTTTAATTACCGGCACTCTAGCACTAGAATTGTGGTCGAAAATGCGTATGGTCATTTAAAAGGTCGTTTCAGGAGGCTTCAAAAATTTGATAATCTTACGACAATTTTCATAATAAATTGTATAGGGGCATCTTGCGTGTTACACAATATATGCCAAATGCGTAAAGATTTTAATGACGATATATTTATGGAAACTGTATAATATAATAAACTAATATCTAATAACATAAACACAGCTAAATAAATCTTAAGAAACTTATCAATTCTTTTAACATAAAAAAAAACTTATTGTGAATCTTGTTCGTTTGCCATTATCTTTAAATATTTTTCCAATAAAGTAACTTTTTTTTCTTCTAGTTTAATTTTTGCTTTTTCCAATTCCATTCTTTCCTTATGGCGCACCTCTTTTTGTTTCAACCTTTCCGTTGCCAAGTTATATACCTTACGCTTCTTTAATGGTGTTTCATTAATTGATTGTGTTGGCGTAGATGTACCGCTTGTTCCTTCACTCTCTATATTCTCTTCTTTGTCAGTATCTGCATGTGTCTCTAATCCAGGGACTGTTGTTCTATTGATGCCTACATTAATAACAGCTTGTGGTTCAGAGGTGATGGCTTATCGCCAATAATTTCGTCAATATGGTTATAATATTTATAATGTTGTGCCCCCCTTCCACTTTTCTTGGGGCCCTTGTTATCTTTTATAGACCTGTATACCCGTAGTAAATTGGTCCACTTCCTTTCCAACTTTTCGGGTTTGCGCTAAAAGAATTATATTACACATTTATCATTTACGATGTTACCAATTTCTTACAAAATAATTATGTGCAGACATTTGCTCCGCTATTATTTCCCAAACATGCTTCCGTTTTTTTGCATTCGTAAAGGCATCTTTATTTTCATGATATAAAGATATCAACAATAGTGTTTCGGCATCAGACCAAGATGCTTCGCTTGACTGTGAATCTTCACTATATGTAGAAGTACTGGGTGTAAGGTACCTTTCTTCTGGTGACTTTTCCACTACAGTGTTTTGCAAAGTTTCCTTATGGTTATTTAGTAATTCTTGGGCAAAAATCATATCTAAAAGCATAAAAATTGTAATTTTTGACATTTTTCATTTAATTAAAACCTGTTGTGGCGAGATTATAATCCTCCTGGGATACAACAATATCATAAACAACATCTGCCTCTTGTAAGCTTAATGTTAAGTTTCCACTTCCGGAGCACATTTTGGCAAATGCAACAATTTTTGCAAATAAACAAGAAATAAAAAGTAAGGTTAGAAAATTGCGATTGAATCACAGAGTTGTATATAAGTAAATAGAGAGACAGTCTTGTAGCGAAAAATTGACTCCAATTGAACCTTGCGCAGGCCGTTGGTGAGTGTGCGCAGTAATGGACAACAGAACCGGCTTCAAATTAAATGATCCTTAAAGCAGGTTCGGCTTGAGAATAATATGGTTTCTCATTGCAACAAAAATTGAAAAGAAATTCAATGTGTGGTGAATGATGTTGTTAACACTGTGTCTTGAATAAATAAGAAACATTACAATCGTTAAGAACTTTTAATACAGTAGACTACAATACAAAGCTGGTAAGGGGCTTACATCAGAATCGAGAAAAGATTTTTTGAGATTCTGGTATAAAGAAAATCGTATATTTGTCGTGCGATCGAGTTTAAAGATCTATTTATGCACTCAGTGAGTATAAAAATAAGCAATGAAAGAATAAAATAAGTTGAAATTTTATTTTGGTGCGGGACAAAATTTCAGGTGAGCAATGCCGAAAACACAGTTTGAATACGGGTAGCCACAAAGTCGACAAACTTCAAATGCCAATAACTCAAATATCTCAAAAATGGAGCATCGGCAGAGGGTATGTACAGTGGCACCACGCTCAGAAAGTCCCTGACAGGGCGTGTCCGAGGACGTTGGAAATTTAAACTGTACATTCTCATGCAAAATTTGACTCTACTAAATATAAATAAGTGGGCCACGCGATATGAGTTGCATTACTTCAAGGGGAAACAGTAAAATTAATAATTTTATTTCTACAAATCGTAAAACACATTTAAGATTGTTAGATGTTCAACACAATTTACAATTCTGATAATATAATATATAATAATAATATATAACTGTCCATATTTACACAGCAGAAGTGTCTGACTTGAAATTAATAACACTCACATTGACTAAATTATCACACAACCTTTAACTTTTTTCATTCATTATCGTCACTTGACCACTAATCATCATCGGAACTGCCGGTGTTCACAATAAATTGTACATTGTCAATAAATTCATTTTTCGTAGGAATGTTATTTGCTTCTAACCAAGAACGTATCACTTTACGATTATTCATTGTTGGTGGCTTATTTATTTGAACACTGATAAGGTGCGTGAGTTTGCTGGTAAATTGGGTATAAGCTGCTTCTCTAACCACTGCATAAAGTTGGTATGATTCATATCATCGTAATAATTACTGTACAACATCCTCTACAAAACCAGAACGACTACCAGCATACTACGATGTACCTCTGACCAGCCCTATTATAAACTTCCGATACTTCATCTGATGATTGTTAGCATTTACTCACTCCGTACGATGGGTGAATATAGGTTTCGTCCAAGTATATAACGGGTTTCTTGTCACATTCAGGTTGTTCATTTTCTTTTAATCTTCTTAAATAACAAGATGCCATACTACAATGTCACTTCTTTCCATTACCAACCTACGTTTGTCCCGACACTTCTTGTATCGAAAACCAAGTTTCAACAATTGCTTGCGAAGAGTTTTCCTTCCACCCGTATATTTGATCTTTTCTTGCACTTTTCTAGGAGCATTTTAAAATAACCTTTATTTATGTACAGATCGTCGCCTTCTAAACATTGAAATGGCGGTAAAGAGTATAATGTAATGGGCATGCTTAAATTATTGCTCCAAAGCGTCTGTTTATTTACAAATGAATCTGAAGCATCTGAAAAGTTACTGCTGTTTTGTTTTGTGATTATGTAACTGAATGCACCCAAAAATCGTGCTGATTCCCCTTTCACGCACTGCGCATGAGTCCCAACGGCTCCGCCATTAAAAGTCGGCCCCTGTAGTTGGAGTTATTTTTCCACGCGCAGGTCGTATGTACTGCCTCTCTATTTACTTATATACAACTCTGTGGATTGAATCCGTTGAATCTGTTTGAAACTTTGATTTGGTGCGGAAAGGGGAATGCGGATCGCGTTCCGAAAACGAGGTTAAGGGGGGATTGATCGTATTGGCAAAAGAACGCGTTCATTTGATCTGAATGCGACATAACGTGCTTGGATCGTAAAATCCGTAGCAAAAGAAAGCGGTTAATGTGTACGTTGAGTTGCCTTTAATCAGGCGGAAAAATTTAAGGTACTGATTCTGTTGTTCATAATACAAACGTAGTCCTTTTCGTATATTCAAATGACAATAGATCGGTATAACAACACGCTATATTGATTTCAACTTCAAAAGTATCGAAATAATGATAATATTGGCAAAAAACGCCTAATCTCCCATATAACTCCATAGTAAAACCAGCCTACGACTGAAAGGTAGGCAATTAAGCATACGCGGTCAGTTTTGGACAGCGCTGTAGGCCGGAGTGCCGCCACCGTTATGAATCCACCTTGCTGCATTCATTATTGGAAGGTAGTAAGTGGCGCTGTGTTTGAAGGAAAGCGCAGGACAGGAAACATATAAAACACGGCGCCAAATTTGAGAAAGTAATTAAATGTGACCTTTTGACTAATTAGACATTTGAAGGCGACCCTCCGGAAAACAAGAATGTTGTTGAAACATAGTTTGGAAATTTTACACGATTGTGTAACGCTGCCGATCCCATGCCTATCCTACGACGTGCATTTCCTAAAAAATCATAGGGGTGCAAAAATGCATTTATTATCTATTGCATAAGAATTATAAACATACTATATATGAAATGCGGGAAAATCGTTTAGAAATTGATACTCGGGGTTTTCGTGGGCAC